AGTCTTATGTTAATGGATATCCCTCAACAACCAGTCACACACAAGTACATGTCATATATTTAATATCAGGCATTTTTATACATTTACATGAACCATTATGTTTAAAGGTCATAAATGTATCATTGATCATCACTTATGTATAAAAAATACATGTTGTTTATGAATATGTTTATGTTCACATATTAGCAGGTACATGTACTTGGAGCTTTTGTGTACATGTATATCAAAAACAGTCTTTATTAAAGTACTGAAATTGAATGGGTCTCCATTACATGTTGTATTGTGTTGTTGTTGTTATTATGAACAATAGGCCTATGAGGATATTTTATGGGACCAGAACTCACAAACAGATCACACAGATAACACATGAACTGGCAAGGACTGCTTATTCAAACACACCGTAAGAAAATGTATTTTTTAATTTTGATTTTGATTTTAGTTACATGTTGTGCCTAAACTGCTTATTGTCAGTAGTGATACATGTACATGTACATGTATGTACATGTACTTGTTTTCCTTTTTGTGATGTTATTGTTATTGTCTGATTATTGCTATTCTTGTGATTATCAAAGGCAGTAGTAGGAAGTAAACACATTAACAAAGGAAGCCTCTTGTTTGCTTAGTAGCTATCATAATCAAAAAGACTGGAGTATTGTTTGTGTTTCCACTGTCATGTACATGTAGTGTATTATATCATTTACGTACATGCTGGACGTCTGAACATATTTTAGTTGTTTTTTAATTATGGAAAAACAACATCTCAATGTAACCTCTGTATTGCTTTTATTGTAAACATGTCTATTGTGAGAAATATTTGTTATCTTCTCTCTTCTTTTTCTCTTCCCCCCCCCCTCTCTCTCTCTTCCTATTGTATTAGTATGGTCATATTGGCCAGTCGTGATCATACCTGTATACACCCCCAGGTATCAACCTCAAGGAACAAGAAGGAGGAATGCAAGGCACTCATAGACTACAAATATGTATGTATGGACATACCAACACATTCACTATCACAAATTAAACTAGTCACACTTCAGGGTATTTACAAATACCTCAACAACAGCATAGTCGTGCTCCTCAGCTTGTACCAGTTGATCCTGGTCGGTTACATTGTCCTAAAATGTAGCAGACACTCATGACAAGGTAAACTGCTTTATAACCGTACTTTTTGAGAGCTATTTAAGCGGGTCTCCACTAGAGTACCCTATGATCTCTGGTCTGTACTCTTTGCTGATAGTTCTAGCAAAGATGAATCCTCTAAAGCTCGCTCTGTAGACATGGCCTTGTGACACAAAGCAACCCTCTTTTGCTGCAGAAAGAGAGGAGTGGCTGACCTTAACCACGCCCATAATTTTTTATACACCCACTCGTTTTAGGGTTGCCCACTCAAATTAGCTTTAAAAATCTAATCAATCAATTAATTTTAAACACAGTAAATTTCTTGAAATTTATTATACGTCTATTAATCTCATTTTCAACCAGTGACTAAATGTAATCTTCATTGTCATTAACTGCCACTCTATTTTGCTGAAGCACATCAAAGGGGCTTGCATATTCTAGAGTTGTAGGATCACTCCTAGCGACAAAGGACTCAAGAGGACTCTGATCCTGTGAATGAACTCCATATGCAACATTCTGACCACTTGAAATGGTGCTAATAACATTTGAATTATCACATTGCATTTTCAATGATGACCTTATCAAGTAATATAACATGGTGTAAGATAAAGTATTTGATTGTACCTTTTGTTGGGTTCAAATTGTTTGTCTTTACTTCTTCTTATAATGAAAATTTTGATAATCAATAATAAGATAATAACAAACACTGCACTGATAATGATACCAATAAATATTCCACCAATCCATGGGATAGCTCCATTTAATGATGATGCTACAGTAGCAGTAACTATATATACATTAAAATGCATAATATGTAATTTTAAAACTACCTATTATTGTAAAAGAAGTGCTAGAGCAAGTTTCTTGAAATTCTGCAAATAAGAATAGATTTAAAATGAATTTGCTAATAATTAAAAGCTAACCTTTTGTTACATTAATGCATGTTGATTCAGTCTCCATATAAGGGGATACAGCAGACACACAGCATGTGTACACAGTATTGGCTAATAAACCAATCAGTGATGCACTGTTGTTCTTTGTCAGTGTGTTTAGTTCAGTTTTAATACTCAAGTGCAACTGAGGATCAACAATCATGTCATGTTTACAGTAAACATTGAAATTGGACACATTATTAGCATCATCAGTATATTCCCAATGTAATATAATATCTGACTGTTGGCTATAGACAGAAAGATTTGAAGGAGGACCAGGCAAATCTATAAATAAAATATTAACAAAATTAATAATAATACAATCAAACTTTACTTTGACATATAACACCAGCAACAATGATTTCAGTTTGAAAAATTAGATCATCACAGGAAATTGAGTGATCTGAACAGTTGCAAAGAAACTTTTCATTTCCATAACATTCAAAATTAGCTTGTAATACTGAAATATTGGCAGGTACTGAGACATTAACTGGCATAGCTCCTACAATAATGTTTGTAAACACATCATCATAATGCATTAGTATCTATACCTTTTGCATCTTTCCCTAATTGTCTGCATACAACTTGTGCTGGAGTAGAGGACCATGTTGTACTACATAATGCATGCCACTCTCCATTTACACACAGCAATACAGCATTAGTATCAAGTAATTGTATCTGTCCATTTTGACAGACTAAGGTATTAATACAATTACTAGCAGCAGCATAGTGGTTGTTAGAGCAAACAAGATTTAAATAAGCTGGCTCGTAAAAGTTATATAAACAATCTAAAATGTTCTGTTGTAATATTGGTTTATCTGAGCAATAAATCCATCCTATAAAACCAGGTGTAGGAGCAGGATTCATTTTTATCTGAGTGATCCCTACATAACATCACATAATAATAATAATTATATAACTGATCAGATAAAACCATAGAATACAAACCAGTATCAGAGTGTCTAGAATATCTCATTTGTTGGCAGATTACATTAGCTATTCTTTGCCTGGCTCCTTGATTATTGTTTGCACAGAATATATCCCCATCTGTTACCAAAACATATCTGTACAACTGTATTGTTGTATTCTGGATCATATCTGATGGCTCCTCTAGTACAAACTCCATGAGCAACCTTTACTGCTACATTGAAGAGTAACAGGATGAAAAAGAGAAGGAAGTGCCTGGATCTTGAACTTATGTTCTTCATTGATTTTTACTGTGATAGGTTACTATATACAACTAACTTCTACATAAGGTGGCTATGGATACCTTGTTTTGTTGATATAGTATACTAGTGGGTGTACCAAGTACATTATATTGCATAAAGGTACATGTTGTAGCACAATTTTTACATTATAATGCTTATAGATCTATGTCTATGTGCATTCACTATCTGTTAATTTGTAACCAGACCAAGAACTTTCATGGGTGCAACACAAACTTAATTTATACCATTTGTATTAGCTATGCATTATAATAGCAACAAAATTATAAAATAGTTGATGAAATATAAAATGATTATTAATATTTTCACGACGAAGTTAATTCCTTTGCAACTTGTCATAGTTACCAGTTTCTTCCTCAGTTTCAGCCAGTGAATAAACTGGATCATTATTAATAGTCATTATATTCACATCAACAGGACTCTCATAATCATTAGCACCAGGAACTGCAGGGTCCCTCCCATTGGAAAATGGCTCAAATTGATTTTGCGACAGATCAGAATAAATCCCAATATTCTGAGTCTGACCTCTTGACTGATGATAAACAGTGGATGTGACATTTACATTATCACTTTGTAATGATGACCTTTATAAGTAATACCATAATGGTATAAGAAAAGTATTTGATTGTACCTTTTGTTGGGTTCAAATTGTTTGTCTTTACTTCTTCTTGTAATGACAATTTTGATAATCAATAATAAGATAATAACAAACACTGCACTGATAATGATACCAATAAATATTCCACCAATCCATGAGATAGCTCCATTTGATGATGATGATGATGCTACAGTTGCAGTAGCTGTAATAAATACACAATAATGAGACCTTTAATTTTATATTCTTTAAGTTACCAGCAGGAGCAAATGATATTGTAAAAGAAGTGCTAGAGCTAGCTTCTTGAAATCCTGCAAATAAGAATATAGTTTAAGTTAAAATTACAAAACTCACCTTTTGTTACATTAATGCATGTTGATTCAGTCTCCATATAAGGGAATACAGCAGACACACAGCATGTGTACACAGTATTGGCTAATAAACCAATCAGTGTTGCACTGTTGTTCTTTGTAAGCAAGCTTAGTTCAGTTTTGATACTGAAGTGCAGCTGAGGATCAATAGTCTTGTTATGTTTACAGTAAACACTAAAATTGGACACATTATTAGCATCATCAGTGTATTCCCAATGTAATATAATATCTGACTGTTGGCTATTGACAGTAAGATTTGAAGGAGGACCAGGCAAATCTATGAACAGAATAGCTACTACCAAATGATAATACAGTCAAACTTTACCTTCACATATAGCACCAGCAATAACTGTGGTTTGAGGAAATATATTATCACAAGAAATTGAGTCATGATCTGAACAATTATATAAAAACTTTTCATTTCCA